TGTATATATATTTAAGGGATCTTAAAATGTCCTAAATTTTACAAACAAAAATTTAGACCCTAAAATGTTGTAAATTCACTGAAATATGGTGTTGTATGTAAGTCATACTTTTAAACAGGTCTTAAATTTCCCTTTTCCATGTAAAGCTACTCAATCAGTACAACCAGAGGAGACGAAGTATTCAAAATCTATACTCAAGTAAAATTACAATTCTTGCAGAAATTTTTACTCAAGGTAATGTAAAAGTAACAATCTTAAAAGTTACTTGAGTAAGAGTAAAAAAGTATCTAATGAAAAAATTACTCATATAGTACTAGTTACTTTTCTTTATATACAGTTGGTCAACTTTTCTTTTTCGAATATTTCACAAATGACGTTTAAAAGAGCAAGGAAGTGTATGCGGTATTTCCTTTTTTTTTTTTTTACTCTGGTAAACGTCTTGTTTTATATCAGCTAAAATAAAAGCAGTTTTTAATATTTTTAAAAACCATTTTGAGGTCAATATTATCAGCCCCCTTAAGTCAAATTTTTTTAATTGTCTAAAAAACAAGCCATCGTTAATGATTTGCCTAATCATCCCAACTTGCCTAATTAACCTTAAACCTTTAAATGTCACTTTAAGCTGAATACTAGTATCTTGAACAATATCTCGTAAAATATTATGTGCTGTAATCATGGCAAAGATATGTGTTGTGATAAAATCTTCTTTCTGTTTATCAGAAATTTGAGAAAAATATACAGGGTGGCTAAATAAACACCATTTTTTCTTGAAAAAAATGTTTAAATCTTATAATATTTTAATGGTTAACAGTGTGAATGACTAATATGTGCAGGGCTAATCAGCTATCAATTAAACGGCAGTTTCTTTAATTATCCCATAGTTAATAAGGTTGAAATTAGGATAATTTTGACACTTACAACCACTGTGTTTTTTCAGGTTGTAGCTGTAATTTAAGAAGCCTATATATTGCGATGTCAGTTCGATGTAAAGTACAGCGTGCATCGCATTATTAAAGCATTCTTGTTGACATCTTGGAGTAAAAGCATAGATTGAACCCAGATTAAGAATTCAGAGGCCCCTGGGCACAATGTGTTGTAGGCCCCCTAACTGGTCGCACACCAATTGTTAAATTAAAAAATAAGAATTACATAATATTTTTTAAATAAAATTAATCTATAACGTATTGCCCGCATTTTTAAAGTAAATGATATACAGTACATATATTTCTTGTCTACAGAGATTTAACTAAGTTTTAAAGCATTTAAAGCACACTTTGTGAAAATGGTGAAAATTAATGGATTTTAATATACTTGTTCAAGTTCACTGAAGCAGTAAAAAATAAGGGTATTTAAGAGTATTTTCTAATGTATAACTTCTACACAGTTATAATGCATATGATCTGGATAAACCTGTAACACCTCTCTAATCCAGTTCTATGAATCTGAGTTTTCTAATACACACACTTATTAATGATTCCTACTAGTCTTCCTCGGATTCGAACTGGGTTCATGATAGCGTCAAAACAAGTTGCCATGCGCTTTACGAGCTACGCCACTCACACTGCTTTGTGTCGCGCTCTTTAGTTATGTTGTCTCTGCAGTGAAACGATTATGGGCAGGAATTACTTAGTTAGCTTATTCCAACGCGGTGCGCTATTTGCATTTTGCCCATACAGTCAATCCAAAATCAGCATTTTTCCCCCCTGGCAGGGGCCTCAAGTGCGCTCAGGCCCCTGGGCCTGTGCCTATAGTGCCCATTAGTTAAACTTGAACTTGAGGCCGTGGGTGACCTGGCCTGATAAAGTCACTATACACAGACAACGTGACCGTCCTCTTAGAACCGCAGAAGGCCAGAGACACTGCTCGCTGCAGAGCCACTTGAGCTTCAGCGAGGGGGAGCTTGAGCTCCAACTCCTCCTCCTATAAGCTGTTTACACCCACCCCAACCCTAATGCCAACCCCCAGTGACATCACTTGTAGAACAAGTGCAAGGAAGGAGGAGCTGGAGCTCAAGCTCCCCCTTGCTGAACCCCAGCTCTGCCCAAGTGGCCTGCAGTGAGCATCACTTGAAAGGCCATGGCTTGACCGCAGTTTAAACACGTCTTCCTCGACTTCAACCATCATTCAACCATAAGCGCGCGCCCTCTAACCAAAAGAGGGAGACCTCTCGTGACACAACCTCTCCACTGCGACATCTTGTGATATTTGCAAACAAATTTTATGAATCTGTTGGAATATCAATCAATTCCATGCGTATTCAAGAAAAAAAAGGTCAGGAGAGGTTTTTATTTAATGTCAAAAATTTTAACAATTTATTGGATACAACTGAATAATTCGATTCACAGAGTTCTGCTATCCTCAATGGAATGCAAAAGTTATATTAAGGAGGTGCGCAACAACTTTCTTTTCCTGACTTCAACTTATATAGGCAGCTGATATTAACAGGTGGAGTTCAGTGAAATTCGTCATTTGTCAATCATTGTCCAGTCCTCCATTGGCCGAACACCAGACATAAGTCCTCTTTTTCTACGAATTCTCTGCACAACAATAAAAGCATAAAACTTTTTGTGCTCTGTGTTCAGTTTTAACACCTTTCTTCACACAGGAAGTTTCTGCAGAGCTGAATTTATTTTCGGACCAGCATTTATCTACTTCTGCAAAAATGCTAATTAGTATGCATAGCATCTCACACACAACAGAAGAAGTTCAGTTAATATATGACCCTTACATGACCAATACAAATAATTGCTTGATTAAAAGTAAAAGAGACAAAAAAATATAAAAAATTGATTCCTATTTTCTAACAAATCCTATTTATTATCATTTGACAGTAAGGGAGGAACGCCGTGAAATGTAACGAAGTAAGAGTAGTGATTTATCACTATTAATTTACTTGAGTAAGATTAAAAGTATAAATTTTTAAATGTACTCAAAAAGTGCACATTACCAGTGAAAGTCTCAGAGGAGAAATGGTTGTGTCCGACTGAGCTTGGTTGAATTGGTGAATTGGTTCCTAGCCAATTCAACTTGCCAATGTCGCCACTGGCTTGCTTGGTCTTGGACTTGTGGACCTGCACATCGATGAATTTTCTCTTCAGTGTTTGAATTTTCATCAGTAAAAACCAAAACTGAACTGAATAAACTGAACTTCAACTCTGAAAGCTAAATTGATGCAGTTTTATTTTAATAGAACTTCTATGTTAAGCTGCTTTGACACAATCTACATAGTAAAAGCACTAAAGAAATGAAGATTAATTAAATAAAACTGAACTAGTAACTTGTGAAAGATCATTTATTTGTTTAGTACAAGATTAAGAAACAAAATACTAACTTGATAACTTGATCGTAAAGTAATACAAATTGTTAGTCTCTTCAGAATTTGAGGTCATCGGTTTCCAATATCATTTCATCAAATGGTTTTCCTGTTTAAGTTTCAGGTTAGTTTATTGTTTACACATATGAATAGCATTTTAAAACTGAAAAACATTTAACAACAGTTTTACAATTATGAGCTGTGAATCATCACTGTATTTTAGGGACTGTCTAAAGTTAGTCTGTCTCCACCGAAGCTTTACACAATAAAGTCTGTGACTCATTACGAAAAGTATATTGTGATGAAATAACCTTGACCACAGTACGGTATGACAGCATCTTTGATCGGGCAAACGTGTTACGGCAGTGCACGGAAGTGTGTAAGTTTGTGAATGACATGATCTTTGACTCTTTCTGTCATTCAGAGCATAAAAAAACAGACTTCCTTTCTGTGGAGAGAACAGCTGCACACACACACACACACACACACACACACACACACACACACACACACACACACACACACACACACACACACACACACACACACACATGCTTGTATGTGTGATTTATGAGGACTCTCCATAGTCTTTATGTCTTTAATACTTTAAAAATGTTGTACACCATAAAAAATGCTGGGTTCCACACAATTAGTTTGAAGAAATTAAGTTAACTTATTAGTTGTTACAAATTTTAAGTTGATTAAACGTAAAGCAATTACTTTCCCCAAAAATCTCAAGAATTGTCTTATTTCAGCTCATTTTAAATAAGTAGTTTGAACAAACAGGAAACGTCATTTTTTGAGTCTATGGCCTTACCCCTTTCCCAAACCGTCATAAGAAACCTTTGAGAAAATTTAACATCAATAGACCCCCTTGAGTATGATTTTCAAACATTTAGAATTACGAGGACACAATGCATGTCTCATAAACCACCTTAAATATGTTACACCGACACTCAAAAAACTGTTTGTTGTTTGTTCAAACTACACTCTAAAAAAAATCTATTACTTCAGGCAGTTGAGGTGCCGGAAAAAAAACCTCAAATAATGTCCATAAATTACAGACTTTTCCTTACATTTAAATTTCTAGTAAATTTCTGTAATTTACCATCTGTTATTTTATGTAATTTAACTGCCTTTATTTACTGGGGGTGGGGGCTGCATTAAATACTTTTTTTTTTACAGTGTACTTATTTAAAATAAGCTGAATCAACATACTTTTTGAGGGTTTTTTGAGGACAACTTAGTTGTTTTATGTTCAATCCACCTAAATTAGTAAAACCTAATAAGTTAACTTAATTCCTTCATGTTACCTCAATACAAATCGATTGTGTGGAACAACATTTTTTGTGTAGGTCATTATACAGTTTTGACCCCGTAAACCACATAAACAAGTACACACACAAACAAGCCTGTTTACAGAACATTTAGCAAATGCTTCCAATGCGACACCAAATCCTCAATTCTTTCATTTGAATGTGTGTCTCGTGAAGCTTTTCATTAAATCTGAATGCTGGCAGTGGCAAGCATGTCTGCAAATCTCTCGGTGAAAGAAAGAGCCTTTTGTTCGCTTCATACCAGCATGAATCTGATGGACTATGACTGAACTGTGCTCACTGAAAGCAGATATTGAACTCAAACATGTTGTCTGCTGCTATAAAACTGTAAGAGCATGTTTTCCAGCAGACCAACCAAATGCATAGCTCTCTCTTTAGCAATGCCATGACAGAGAGTTCAGAAGTAGCAGTTACTCAACATGAGTTTAGATGCTGTGAATGATGTGTGTCACTTCAGGAATTAGACCTGCTCATGCAGCAGTAATTGCTGTGATTCATTAAAAGCATGTGCACATTTTGCACACAAACTCTCAGCCAGAAACCGAGAAAAGGTGGAGCGATGAGAGAAAGAGGGGGATGGGGTTAGCAAGAAAAAGGAGGTGATTGCAGGGGAGTTTGAGAGAGAGTTGTTTAGCAAGAGAATGAGAGCAAAAGAAAGAGGATAACAGATTGTAAGATAAAACTCCTTGGACTTGCCGAGTAAATATGGGTAAGTTTCTCACTGTTATATATTTGTTTGAATGCTTTATTTGATATGTTAACCTTGCAACTTTTGTAATTTTGTCTCTAAAGTTATTGAGAGACTGCAAGCCAAAGACAGGCTCAATCAAAAGCCTTTTATACTTATGAAAATATCCTGAAGCTTCGCATTCCTTTCCCACGTGGCTGGCTGGTTTTATTTTCTCTAAAAAAAATATGGTGATGGTGAAATGAGCTGGAATCTAGTTTACCCATTCAAAAGTATGTTAATCAATATCGCATTCAAGGGCAGCTGACACTGCGTGGTACACACACACACAGAGATACTGGACTCACACTCGTGTGTGGAAGTTTGCTAACTGATTTGTTTTGCAATGGACAGCTGAACTGTTTGTATTCAGTCTGGTAAATGTAAATTGTTTTCTCAAAGCTGTTGAATGTCCCATGAGGAATTTTAAGCAGGTTCTAAAGCTCTGCTGTCTATAGCATATATTTCTTTTTTTTTTCACCTTACTGTCTTGTGGAATTCAGTTTTATTTATTATTAAGGTTATTTAATTTACATCCTTTCTGGTTTATTCATAAACATACTCAATGTAGTATTTTATGGTTGGTATTTTTAAATGTCCTAGTCAAAGACGTAGCAGGAGATACAGTATGCATGTGAACTTTCTTGTATGTATAACACTTTATATTTATGTTTAAAGTACAATTATTTTGAAGTACAAAATACCAAAAAAAAAAAAAAAAACTCATTAGTTAGTAAACACAGCAAAAATATTTTTAGACCATCCTTGAGTCTATTCATTCGCTTGTGTAAATTTATTTTAATTTAGTTTTTTTTTCAGTAATATTATTGACATATGAAAATGTTTATTTGATTTATTTACAATACTCTTTGTAAAGTAATGTTTTCTGTCTTTTAGTAGATATTTTATATGACTTGCTTTGTTTACCAAATAAGTGGATAACACTGGATTTGCATTGTAAACATGAAATTAAAGTTAAAAAGTTTTTATTTTATTTGATATATTACAATTTTACTTAAGATACTCCCAAAACAATTCCGCATAAATCCCCAGATTTATTTTTCTCACAAAATTCTTGAAAGAAATAGCAAACAATGTCCGCAGATTCTGTCTGGCCCTAGCCATGACCTAAAATGATGATAATGTTGTGACAATATATAAATATATTTACAGTTAAACAAAGCACTGAGGAAAAAAAGTAATAAGCAAATAATACTAATTCTAAATTATTGTTATAAGTAGTCAGGTTGACTAAGTTACTATAAGGTTGATTAAGCGATTAAATCCTATTTTTTCATAGCATCAATAAATTATAGTTCACACCACTCAAATATATAAAAAAAAGTTGGTCTTAATAGATAAAAGATTTAATGAACTCAAAATCTGACTCTACTGGGTTAAACTTAAACTATAGCATAGTCAAGGTCAGATTTATAAGTTGAAAAATTAAAATAAGTGTTTTGTAATAATATTGTAAGAGGTGTGTTAAATTGTGACTGTGGTGAAGACTAGAGTCTGTGATTATGTTGAGAACGAGCTGAATAATATACAGTGAAATTAGCACATGTTGATAATTTGCACTTAAACATGAATTAATATGTGAGATCATTTAATTTAGTACAAAATAAAGAAATAAAATACCAATAAACTTAATAAAAATAGTAAAAATAGAATACATATTTGGAATTCTTTTATTTTCATAATAAACTTACAATGTACACAGAAATTATTTGAATTATGGAATAGTAAAAGGAGATATTCAAAACTCTTTGAAAGAAAGAAAGAAAGAAAGAAAGAAAGAAAGAAAGAAAGAAAGAAAGAAATTTGAATCTGCCTTCATCTAATGTTTAGATATAAAAGTACAAATGCAACTACAAATAAACAAGTATTTAATAAAATTATGTCTAATATGCATATTTAAAGAAATAATTTAATTAAATAGTAATAAAATTAGCTGCAGGAGTATGGCAATAACTTTAATTATATCTTTGAACTCTGCATTATCTTGCCTTAAGTCAAGCATGAATAATGAAATCAGTTGATTGAAAATTGATAGAAAAATGACTTTTTCTTTTTTTCTTTTCTTTTTTTTTTTTGGCTAACTAAGCGTTTGTCCCACCAGTTGTTACATTTTTAAAACTCTAAACTCAATGAGCACAGCATCTGTCTTTTGTGGCCATATCATTCACACATTTCATGTTGTTTTCACCCAATATGCAGTCCAATATGCTTCCCAAAAAAATATTGGATTGTTTTTGTAATATTTTACAAATGTTAACACACAACACCTCAGAATAGCAAAAACAATATTCCAAACCTTAGATTCATTTAAAACCCCTCTGCTTCTGCAATGATATCAGTTCAAAAATATAAAAAATATATATAAGTTTTTTTTTTTTAATTGCTATGACAGTCAATTCATTTAATAAGTTTCCTAAACTCTTAACACAGTTAGTACAACATCCGTATTTGTAGCCTGTACAGTTAACACATTTCTTGTTGCTTTGGTGCAAAATGCATACAGTTTACACCAATTTACTTTTTTTCCAACTGCTTACACACATTTTTTAAACAGTTTCCCCATTTTTCATAACTTTACACTAGGGTTGTAACGGTATGAATTTTTTACAGTATGATAATCGTCTAAAACAATACCACGGTTTGACGGTTTCGCGGTATACGGTATTAAATAGTAATTCTCATAGCAAAGACCCTGAAAAGAATAAGAACACGTTTTCTGACTGAACAAAGGTTTTTTTTCACCAAACTTGTGAAAGAACCATTTTAATAGAACTATAGAAGTCTTTTATAAAAATAAACTGAAAAATTTACCATTTTAATAAATTAAATTAGAAGGAATAAACAAGCAAGGTCTTTTAAGATTAGACAAAAATAAACTTAAACTGTCCTTCCTTATAAGCAGGATAAATGGGAGACCAAAAGTGCAATACCAAGTTTATGACTGTAAACATTTAAAGCGTTGTTTTTTTCAGTCTAGGTTGTGATAAAGAAATGTTAGCATGTTGAGATTTTCAGGACTTAATCTTGACCGCTGAGGTGAGAGAATGTGTCCACTTGTACAATGAACAAATAAAAAAATAAGAAAATAATAAATAATGTGTCAAAGTCCAAATAAACATGGTGCAAATCCTCAGTAAAAAAATAGATATAAATATTTACTATACTATAAATAGTTACATAACGAAACTAGATTCAATATGGAACATCCTTAGGTTTTATGTGCCAGCATGGATATGGTTGTCTGTGGATATGGATTTGGATATGGTTGTCTGTGGATATGGATTTGGATATGGTTGTCTGCAATGCAGACAAACAGCTGCACCTTCATTTGCGTCTTTTGAAAACAGCAAGAGCAGCAGTTTGTCTTTGCTGTGTCACTGTTTTGTCATGTTTCTGTGCTGCTGTGCATGCAAAAGTACTTAGTATGAGAATTATTTCATGCAAAACTTTTTTTTTTTTTTGCGTTTTATTTAGCCGCGCATAAATGTACAGCCTATCTCTCATTCCGTGTTGTTCAAAAAGCTCATTGTTGGTCCACAAACAAAAGTGAAACCTATGCTTATTGGTTGTGATTTAGCGAGTTTGAACCAATCTGGGCATGGAGGAGGGACAATGCATCAATGTATCATGTCTGGTTTGTCCGGAGACACAGTGACGAGCGTTTCTTTGTCAAATCAGCGTTGTCAAATTTTGATGACGTAACCGCACTGATTCCGGAGCCTCTGAAAGTCCGCGAATGTTATGTGATACATTTGAATTGTATGAATCTGATCAGCGGATCAAAAGTTATTAAACATTTAAGAGCAATACTTATTTTTAGCCGCGGGCGGCTGTCTTGGTCTTTAAGGGTTAAAACCGTTGATATGCAATTGTTCATGGTATGATAATCGTGCACGTTCAAATCATGGTAAACCGTCATACCGGTATATTGTTACAACCCTACTTTACACACAATTCTCAAAACTGCACACAAAATGCAAAATGTCTGCAAATCTCCTTGTAACACTATGCATTTAAAACACCATAAACACATGTCAGAATGAAGCATTTGCATCAAATGGCAAACACTTCTTTCATTCATTCATTCATTCATTCATGTTCTTTTTGTCTTAGTCCCTTTATTACAGTTTTTACAATTGCTATGACACTTTTATCAATACATTTAACAAGTTTCCTAAACTCTTAACACAGTTAGCACAACATCCGTCTTGGTGGGCTATACAATTACAGTTTTTCTAGTTTGCTTTGACCTGGTTAAAGAAACTAGGTTCCACTTCATTTTCATTTTCACTATCCCAGCAGAGCAAAAGACCGGTCTTGCAAATGTGTAAACTCTTTCTCATTGGGTTGACACATTTTCCCCACCATTTTTCAAAACAGCTAACACGGATGTCATTCAAGCAGTCCAAACTCCATTGTTTTAGTTATGGTAACTAAACAGAAACCATCTATTCCTAACCATTAAAAACTACCAACATCAATATGAATTCAGTGAAGCACCGGCTTGACACTACTTCACACAAATCTTCAAAAAGCAATCAGTCTGCAAACCTTATAAAACGGTGGAAGGTCTGTGTTATTCTGTGACAGCATGGATGGAGGAGGTCAATAGTGGCTATGTCTTATACTCACAATAGATTTGACTGTATATTGGTTTACATGTGTTTTCTCTAATATTTACAGTATTTTATTACTTTTGTCTGTTTTTACAGTATTTCAGTTTTCAGCCACAGTTTAAAAATTGTCATGAATTCGATATAAATGTAATCAAAGCATTTCTTATTCTGGATGCAATTCTTTGCAAAAAGGCAAATTTGACAGCCCAAATAGAAAGACAACAAATGGCATTGGCAATAGGCTACAATGACAAGCAATGGTGGTGCACTGAGTTCTGTATTTTGTATTTTGTTGTCCATTGTGTAATGATTAATTGAAAGAGCTTATATACTTGTTTGCAAGTTGTGTTGTTTGAAGGTAAAACTAGCTTTTGTTGCATATGTTAAATGTTTTGACACGGTATGTGCCTTTTGCAAGCAAAATGTGTCATTTTGACCATGAGTGCCGCTGTTTAGGCCTGTGTGTTAACTGTTTTGAAAATGTGGAGTTTCAGTTGACAACTACATCCAAGCAATCGAGAAAAACTGTAACACATTTCTTGTTGTTTTGACACAAAATGCATCCAGTTAACACAAATTTAAAATGCTTTAACTTCTTTTACACACAAGCACAACCAAGAACAAAACAATGTAATTTTACAGTCAAATTTACAAATGCTTTAGCACAGTATGTCAGAACAGATAACAACATGTTCTAAACAGAAATTATATAGGATAAAGTCAAAGTGAACAGCTGTTCTAATTGTGAATTGAAACACAAGTTTATTCCCTTTATTTTATTCAATTGCCAATGAGAAACAGCAGTAAACGAAAGAAAATCCATGCATTTACTTAACCCAACGAAACAAAACTGTAACGAGACTTCAAATATAAGGGCAGAGCTGACACATAAACTAATGGAGTTTCTGTAATGTCAGCTGTTGAAAGTGTTTTTATTGTCAGTGTGTTCTGATTGACTGAATGTTTATGTTGGAAGAGAACATGTGTTAGTGTTTTGAACAATAATTTTATTTTGAAACATGATTGCAGTGTTTTGTTAGACATGGTGTAGTGTGTTCGTTTATTATTGTATTTTGATAAGTAGTTTAGAGGATTAGTTTATAATGTGTGATTTTGAGCATAAAATTAACTTTTGCCAATTGTGTCTTTTAGGTGTGTTGCTGCGTTAAGATTTTAGCAAACTTGTTAAATGTATTGAAAAAAGTGTCATAGCCATTGTAAAAAACTGTAATGAAAACAAAATCGTTATGCCTTTAAGTGCATATATAAAACAATGTTAATGAAATCACTTAAAATGATTAATTGACTAATTTATTATATATTTTATGAAACTATCGATTCCTTTAAGTGGACTTCTCTGAGCCGTAGCTTCATCTATAACTCTAATACGAGTGACTGACTGATCAATTCATTTGTTTCACCAGGAGTCATGTTGGTGTGTGAATATCCCGTCACTCTTCTCTTCCTCGTCAGCTTTCACCACTTTTCTTTTGTGTCATCATCTTCCTCATCCTCATCTCAGAATGCCACTCAACCCCGTTCCACCCACTCTGAAGTGATGAGTAGTTTTGATGAATATGATGAAGAAACCCCCACAGCATCCCCCAGCTCATCCTCCACCAGCGCTCTGGATCTCAACCCGTGTGACTACGACATGTGTGTGGAGCAGCAGCAAACCTGCATGGATCTTGCAAAGGTGGAAAACTGCCTCTGCCCGGGTTTGAGTGATCTCTTCACGCGCCCGAGCCCCCCACGCATCTCCCATCTGACTCAACAGGGTGGCAGAGGAGTTGTGGTGCACTGGTGTGCTCCCACCTCTATCATCAACAGCTACATTGTCCTGGTGAAAAACAAAGACAGAGTTATTAGTAGTAGGGAGGTGGAGCAGCATAAGAGGGCGTTGGTGTTGGAGGATGTGGAGGCTCAAGCAGTGGTGTGTGTAGAAGCGGTGAATAAAGGTGGCGTCAGCGAAGAGGACGATCAATCATGTGCCAACTTTGAACCCAAGCATGCAGATTCTGGATTAGCCCTGAAACTGGGCATTATTGGCGGAGTGGTGGGACTCATTCTACTGCTGATTCTAGCTCTGCTGTTGTGGAGACATAAAAGGCGACAGAAATTTACAGCCCGGAGTGAGACAGAGGGGGTCCTGTGAGGGAGATAGGACATGTGCTTCATATTGGTGAAGTGATGGAGGTTAATGAATGAGCCTGGACTGATTGGCCGCTGCAAGCGGATACTGGATTATAGAGGGAGTGTTTATGAATGACTCAGTGAGGGAGCAGAGAAGGTGGATGAATGACTCAGCACATTCTTCTCATTCTGCTCGTCGCTGTCTAGTGATATAGGACAGTCGCAAAACTGCAGTCTGTTTGTGTGCTGACTCTAATCAGGGGCGCTATTGAAAAGCTCCACTTCCCCAAAGCTTGAACGCACTTTAAAATTCTGTGGAGATAAGAGTGATAGATTTTATATTTCGTTTTTATTTTTTTACAGAAAAAAAAGGCAGATTTGCAAAATATAAACTTGTTTGTATAGAACCGATTCTGTTTCACAGTTCTGACTATAAAAAATGTTGATGCTTAAAATAGATGAAATCAAATTGTATTATATGTAATTTAAATAACAATAATATATAATAAATATTAAGAAAAAATTTAAATAAATAAACAAATAAATAAATAAAGGCGACACGGTGGCTCAGTGGCTGATGAATAATGAGACTAAGCCGAAGGAAAATGAATGAATGAATAAATAAATAAATATAATTTTAATTTTTTTACAATTTTGATTGTTTGAAGTTGAAAGATAATATTTAATTTACTTTTTTTAAGAAAAAAATCAAACTTTTGAGACATAAACTCCTTGATTTACTTTCTGACATTTCTGCCTTTTTTTCTCGCAACCTACAGGAAAAAAATAATAATATATAGTAATTTATAGTAAATACTTGTGTTTTAGAACCATACTATAGCAAAGTTCTTGAATAATTCTGTTAAGGTAATGTCATAGTTATATGGTTATACAACATTAGAAATATAAACAAATGACCCAATAGTGTACAAATAAATTATACCACAAAACAAATTTACTGTAGTAAAAACTTAAGTATACTCCAGTGTTTTTACAGTTTATCAGTTCACTGTAGTTAATACTACTACAGTGTGCTGTAGCATTCATTAACAAAGTGTTGTAAGATCTTAAATGATCCACTATATACAGTATGATCCACATAACTATAATATGGTTGAAAAACACTATAATATTCACTATAAATTACTATATTTAGTTTTTTTTTTTCAAGTGGGAAATATCATAGAAATTTGACTTTTTCTCAGTTGTGATACAGAGATTAGCAATAGCAAGTGAGAACTGTATCATACAAAGTCAAAATTGCAAAACAAACTCAAAGATGAAAAGTTAAAATTGCAAATTAAATAAGACCCTTAATATTTCAAAGTTCATAGATTTCAATAACAGAGATCTCCTAATTATGATACACCCTGGAATGTATACTCAGAATTACATTTTATAACCTTTCTGAGGTTACATCTCATGACTTTACAAAAATAAAAATTATGAGATGATTGCTTTCTTTTCTTCTTTTTTGTAAATCCCATAGCAAAAACAGGCTTCTTGTGTTACATATGCTGCATGTGTTTTCAGCTAAAAAGGCAGAAACACAACTTCCCTCATTTACTGTATTGATTTGGATCAAAGGATTTGTGAACGCAATAGACCATTTTGAAAAGAACATGTTTGCAAAAAAAATCGGTATATATATATATATATATATATATATATATATATATATATATATATATATATATATATATATATATATATATATATGTTACGAAATAAAATAAAAGTTTTTGTATTTTCTACTTTTACATGTTGATTTACTGATGAAATCAATTATGTTCCCTTAAATGTCACTTTTACATGTGAAAACATTTTTTTACATATTACATACATTTTCACATACACAAAAACCTGCAATAAAATCCGTTTTTCAGTGGCAGACAGTCACCCAAGCTATGACTAATCACTCTAAAGCTGTAGGAAAAATAATGTCATAAAAACACTGACGGGCTGTTGACCACAAAAACACACAGTCCTGTCACTACTAATTATCCTGAGCTGTGACATCAAAAGAAGAGAAGGGAAAATATGTAAGTTTCACATTTATTATGGTGAAGCATCTAGTATAATATGTTGTAATGTTATAATAATGTTAAATGATGCAATCAGTCAGAATACATGACTAATATTAAATTGACATAAAGTGGAAATATTTCTTTTAGAATTAGATGGTGCTAACATGCAGGGCTTCTCTCTCTCTCTCCCTCTCTCTCTCTCTCTCTCTCTCTCTCTCTCTCTCTCTCTCTATCTCTCTCTCTCCCTCTGTCTCTCTCTTTATTTTTTTAAACAAGGTCCTGGCGTCAAGCCTGACACCATGCTGGCCATCACGACAATGCTCTTGAGGTGTGTTGTTAATACTTGTTGTGGGATTATCATTTCCTCTATCTAACAGAGCAAGTATACACTCAAAAATATTTTTGCTGCTTGTTCAAACTACTTGTTTAAAATAAACTGAAACAAAACAATTCATGAGATTTTTGTTGGAACAACTTAATTGTTTTATGTTCAATCCACTTAAATTTGTAAAAATAAACAAGTTAACCTAATTCCTTAATGTTGTCCCAACACAAATCGATTGTGTGAATTCCAGCATTTTTACAGTGTATACACAAAAAAAATGCTGGGTTTCAAACAATTCCTTCATGTTGTCCCAACAGAAATCGATTAAGTTAACTTGTTTATTTTTACAAATTTGAGTGCATTGAACATAAAACAATTAAGTTTTCCTAAAAAACTGATTCAGCTCATTATAAATAGGTAGTTTGAACTAACAGCAAATTTTTTGGAGAGTAAAAGTATCTAAAAATTGACATCAAATGTTTATGAAAGAAGCTGATTTTACAGTAGTTTCTGATTTCAGTTTTACCATCTTGACACAATAGAAACAATGCATACAAACTCCAGGGTTTACTTTTGTGACAGTTCTTTAAAGGTACATTGGGTTGGATCATTGTGATCCAAGTTTCAGGATTGTCAAATCCTGTTTACTAGAGTCTTAAATGGAACCAACAGTGTAGACTACTGGCTTGACAAAGAACAACAGGTATGCAAAATACCAGTGGCCACAAAAAGCCATTGTTACTTTAATGGTAAGAAACAGAAATACTGCAATTAACATACACTTTTTAGTTTGTTCTGTAGACTACAATGCTGCTATGATAATGATTTGTTGTTGTTGTTTACCATGTCTCATTGGATGTGACAAGCTTCATATAGGCTTCAAATAAAAAGGAATTTATATATCACCAGTAACCATTAAGTTTGTGATCAGTCACTTAAAAATAAACCTTTTTTTATTTTATTTGGTTCAAAAACAAAATCACAACTGAACCCACCCTGATCAAATAGATCCCAATCTGAGTTCAAAGTTATGAATAATCCAAAGGGCAGGTTTGATCCAAATCAAATGTAAGATTGGATTACATGGTCTGATCTTAATACAGAATCTCTCTGTTACTTTTGGAAAACCCATTTTCAAGATTTGATCCAATCTAAGATACAAAATCCTACTGAATTACTTTTGAAAAACTGGGCCCAGGTCTTAAATCAAAATCTGAAATATGAAGGCAAATATTATACAATAGTACAACAAATATAGAGTGAACAGAGCTAGATTGTGTTAAAATGTCCCATCCATAGCAATATTTTTTTTCAAATTAGCTACAAAAATGAGATAATGTCAAGCATATTTGTGTCAGGAGTAGATTTTAAGGTATTTAAAAGTATAGTTCACCCAAAAATGAAGTTTTGTCATAATTTACTCTCCCTTCACTTTTTTCCAACCTTTATAAGTTTCTTCTGTTGTACACAAAATAAGATATTTTGAAAAATGTTGAAAACCATTGTACTTCATGGTATTCTATATATTATGGATGGTTACAGGTTTCCAACATTTTTCGAAATATCTTCTTTTGTGTTCAGCTGAAGAAACAAACTCATAAAGATTTGGAACCACTTGAACCACATTTGAGATTTGGAACCACTTAAACCATGCGCACCACAAAAACAAGTGGAACTTTTCAGTAAGTCACAGAACAAACTACGTCATATCTTATTAATTCCTGCCTGTTGTGGTGATTCTGTCATAAATTATAGCATTCTAAATTGCAAAAGGCTGCAGATAATAAGGCACTGGGATGAAAAGGACTGACTAGATCTGTTTATTCTTCAAGTAAACAGAGAGAAGTTTACCACCAAAGTTCAGTTCACTGCCTCCTTGAGTTGAAGGTATTTGCACTCTCAAAACACTTGTCATAGTGGCTGTGCTGTTTAATATAATTAATACAAAAGTAAAACATCCCAAGAATTCCTAACATTTTCATGAGTGTGGACATACCAAAACACCGCCTCATTCTAATTAGTTGATTTTATGTGGAAGCCGTGGCATGGATCTCATTTAGACGGCTCAAGAAGTAAAGCAATTACATTTAAAGGCTGAAAATACATTTCCTCACCATTTCCTCACACTCAAGTGGTTATAAAGTTTTAGGAGTTTCTTTTTTCTGTTGAGCACAAAACTATATTTTCTGAAAAATGTTGGAATAAAGCAGCCATTGACATCCATTATAAGAACACATTTTAGCTATTAAGTGCCTATTTAAAATACTTTGAATGTTTGATATGGTGTTACAGACATACAGTGTCATTCTGCAACTGTTTTGCAGCATATGAAAGGTCCCAAACACTATTTTTAACTGTCCAAAATAGGCAAAAAAAAAATAGTTTTTACTCTCTGATAGTCTGAAAATATGTATATGTTAAATATGCATTAAAACAGTCAGGAAAAAGTGTTTTATGTAAATTCAGACCACGAGTCCACATATATGGACATAATTTTTCTCTAGAAGTACATCATATAAAAAATGATACTTAGGTTTTTATTCTAATTAGGTTCCAATAAGCCCAAATAGCAAAGAGAAATAAGAGAAATAAAAAATGTGTGTAAAACACCTTGGGCTCTAAGAGGTTAAGGTTGTCCAAATTAGGACAACTCAAAACTCTGAAGAGCTAATCAAAAAATTGAGTTTTATGTAAATTTTGGAAATTCGCTAAATATTGTGGAACATGATCTTTACCAAATATTCTAATGATTTTTGCCATTTCTTTTTAAAAATATATTATTTTGAGCCATGCAATGTATTTTTAGCTATTGTCAAAATACTCCTCTAACATAGGACTGATTTTATGGTCCCACTTCAGATTTTATCTTTGTTTTCTTCCGAGATGTTTTTACATTTTGTTCTCTTTAAATAAGGATCTCTAATCCATTAACTTACATTCTAACCAGCATATTCATATTCAACTCTCTTTTAATATGAGGTAACATGTTGTTTGAAGCTTTTAAAAAGTACTTGGCTTACAATCAAATTTGTACTGTAAATTTACTGCATACGTGTTTCATCAGATCTCCCCGTCCAAACTATTTAGCTGTCCTTATCATTGCAAATTCCTTTTCTTTTTTTGCTGTAAGAAATAAAAGCAAAGAGGGGGGGGGGGGGTGCAAGTAAAGTCAGATGTTCTTGCACAGCCCAATTTAAGCACTGTTAAATTCTCAAATATGACTAACATTATTTCACTGTTACTTGGTTCTCATTTTTCTCTAACATCAATTATTTTTTTAATGCTACATCCCTCTTAGCTGAGCACCATTGAGCTAGGTAATAGTGGAGTACAGAACACAAAAGCCCAGAGAAAGACATTACAGAGAGCTGACGCATGAAGCCACTTACATAAAAGACCCTGCATTTAAAGGGTCACCCTTTACTTGCACTCAAGTGATTCCATACCAGTGTGAGTTTCTTTATTCTGTTGAACAGAAAATAAGACGTTTTTAAGAATGTTGAAAACCCCCAGTCTCTGACTTAATAGTCCACATACCAGTTTACAAGATCTTTTTTGTTTGTTGTTGTCGTTGCTAAACATTAACACAAACAAGTTTGCAGGAGGAGGGTGAGTAAAAGCTGTAAAGTCAAATCAGAAAAGGGGTGCTAAAAAATGGCTCTCCTCTATGGGCGTGTGCTGAAGCCACATTAGATTATTTTACTTAGCCAATGCCAACTATGTGCTGGATGGTGTAAACTCAGGACTTGCACTAAACTCTAGAGTACTGAACCGCAGCTTGCCATAATCCTCTCTCGTGGAGGAGTTTGGGGGATGACAGTATAAAACCACACAAATAGATTTATGTAGCAACTGAAGAGCTCAGATAACTCAGTTTTAATTAAGTTTATTAAATCATGTTTTTAATTGCACACTTTTTATTGGGTTCATTTGCAAAAAAAAAAAAACATGATTTATGATTTATGATTTATAAATATAAATTACGTTATTTGTTTTTGCACAAGAACTCTTCAAATATAAAATGAATTTTTAAAAAATGGTGTTAATCTGTTTTTTTTTTTTTCATTTCTGTGTGTCATTTCGCCATCACGGTGGTGCAGTGGGAAGCACGATCGCCTCACCGCTAGAAGGTCGCTGCCTGCTAGTTCAAGCCTTGGCTGGGTCAGTTCAGTTGATATTTCAGTGTGGAGTTTGCATGTTCTCCCCGTCTTGGTGTAAGTTTCCCCACAGACAAAACACATGCTATAGGTGAATTGAATAAGCTAAATTGGCCGCAGTGGATGTGTGTGAATGGGTGTGTATGGGTGTTTCCCAGTGTTGGGTTGCAGCTGGAAGGGCATTCGCTGTGTAAAACATGCTGGATATGTTGCCGATTCATTCTGCTGTGTCAAACCCCTGATTAATAAAGGAACTAGGCCTAAGCTAAAAAGAAAATTAATGAATGAATGTTTGCAATTTCAGGATGTTTCAGGAATGCCAACTGATCCAGCCGCTTGGACCAGCAAACTTCTTGCTGTGAGGCAACAGTGCTAAACCCTGAGCCACCATGTCACCGTGAAGGACATTTTCATCATCTAAATAAATAAATAAATATTTTTTCAAAATAAAAAGTAAAGAATCTCATGTGAAATTAAGGATGAAGGTTCTTAGTGGACTCATTTCTTACGAGTGGCACTTATTAATATTTTTTATTTATTATTATTCATTGCATTAAAATTCTAGAATGAATCATATTGTTTTTTATTACAGTTCACCAAACAGTGTTCAAAGTTGAGAAAATTAAACCTCGGGTTTTGTGATGTGTTTGTCTTTTTCATTCTTGCGCAGTAGGTAGTGCTGTCGCCTCACAGCAAGAAGGTCGATGGTTGGAGCCACGGCTGGGTCAGTTTTTGTTTCTGTGTGGAGTTTGCATATTCTCTCCGCGTTCGCGTGGGTTTGCTCTGGGCGCTCCGGTTCCCCCAAAGTCCAAGGACATGCTATAGGTGAACTGGGTAAGCTAAATTGTGCGTAGTGTATGAGAGTGAAGTAGTGTGTATGGATGCTTACCTGATGGGTTGCACTTGGAAGGGCATCCGCTGCGTAAAACATATGCTGGGTAAGTTGGCGGTTCATTCCGCTGTGGCAACCCCAAATTAATAAAGGGACTGAGCCGATAAGAAAATGAATGAATGGCACATGCGATTGATTCCTTATCCATGTCAAAAATACTGTGATCTGCCACCAGATGCCGCTGCAGCATAAACAACATGATCAGAACACAACAGATGGCAAAAGCAGCACTGTTCAGCACAGGAACTGAACGTTACGCAAACTGCACAATGCAACATATATATAATAGCAGTGTTATGGAGTGCAATTAGGCTATATTTAGGCTATACTATGCAATTTCTAATTGATTTAATTTTTAATTGTTAATAAAGTTAGAGAGATCTTTGAGTTTTACACATAAATATTGTCCAACAGAAAATCAAAAGGTCTTTTTTGAACATGAAACCTCATTCTGCCATCAGACTGTCCCAATTTGACTAAAATAAGTAACCGCTTAATTGCATTTTTTATTTTTATTTTTTACTTTAAACTCAGTAAATTAACTCAGTGTTTCTCAAACATGTTCCTGGAGGACCACTCTGCACATTCTCCATGTCTCCTTAACCATGCACACCTAATTCAGATCATCAGCTCATTAGCAGAGACACTGAAAAACACTGGATTGATTAACTATATACAGCTATACATTTTCACAGAGCATCACGTTTTTTTAAAATCTGTTTGATATATTAATCCAGAGATTTATCCTCAAGTCAACATATCCCGAATATATATTCTCAAGGTTTTCATTTTAAAAGGTCTTTAAAAATAAAGACTGCTTTACTGCTATCTAAATAAAGATGAAGGCACTTGCATTCCAATTTTTGGGCGATGTTACATTTTTTAAAATGTGAAAACAAAATTAACACGGTCAAGGTACGGCTAGAACTACAATGCACATAAACACTGACACTTTTATTGTTTTTTAACAATACAATCATATTAAATATAACAGTGGATGATATCAAGTACAAAAATAAACAAGAATAAAATCAATAAAAGAAAAGAAATTATGATAAATAATATATAAACAAATATATATATATATATATATATATATATATATATATATATATATATATATATATATATATATATAATTTAGCATTATTTCTTTTCTTTTATTGATTTTGTCCTTGTTTATTTTTTTACTTGATATCATCCACTGTTATGTTTAAAATGATTGTATTGTTAAAACACACTAAAAGTATATATATATATCAAATTAAATAACATTAACAAATTTCTCATAAAATGTTTTTACACTTTTTTGCTGTAAACATTTTGTAAAGTAGTAATTAAACAATTTAAACCACAAAGAAAATTCTGCAAATTAGGAAATGATAAAGACAATTTACATTTGTGAATATTATATTTACCCATTAAATAAATTGCCTATAAATTATGTTATGTTTGTCATGAGAAAAGTAACAAATTATATCACACATGGAAAAATCGATGTTAAACTTACATTTTTAAATTATATCAATAAATATAGTAAAAAAAAAAATCTGTGGAAATCGTCATTAATATGCGCTTTGTTTACGCGGGCGGATGTCATTAAGCCGCGACCGCATCTTTGACCAATCAAAAGTCAGGATTGACCTCAGGCGTTTGTACTGTGGAATGAAGGCTCTGGCGCGTAGCGACAAAACAGTTAATATATTAATGCAGATTAACAATAATATTATCGGGAGTGTTCACTGTGGCTATTTATCCAGCTTTCACTAAAACCAAGTAAGCGACCGCCTCCGTTTACAGGAGGAATGTGTGGGCTAGTTTGCTAATGGCAATGCTACAGTAGCTTGGCTGGCTCATCTTTAGTTTTTGTTAATACTGTCGCTGCGAGACAACATAAGATGAACATTTCCTTCTACGCAGCATTAATATTTCACAGCATTAACTAATAAAATAGGGGTAAACCTGTTGGTTTGGGTGGACAACTGAAGAATTCACAATGAACTCAAAGCGCAACAACAGCGAAAGCGGAGCGGGTAGAATCAACCCAGGCTCCGTTTCAGCATCAGCAAACAGCAGCGCATCCGCGAGCTCCTCTCACCGAAAACAAACTATCATCAACTCGTCCCACAAAGGAGAGAAGGAGGAGTGCATGCAGAACGCGGCCCGCGACAAAAATCTGTCCATCTCCACACTCCGAACCCGCCTCGGACCGACCATTCGGTCCACTCTGTCTGCGGCGGTGGACACTCTTCTGGGCGAGATCGTGACGGTGCTGTCCGAGACCCAGCGCGAGCTCCAGACCAAAGAGCAAGAGAACGAGAAGCTGAAGGTCCGGCTCGAGGTGTCCGAGAGAGAGCTCAAGACGCTACAGGAGTGCCTGTGTAGCGCGCAGAAATTAATCGACCAGCTTCAGGGTCCCTTTGGAAACCCGCCCATGACGGGACATCAGGTGTACTCCACTGCTGGACACTTGAATTCGAGCCGCCTGACTCACCGGAACGCACCTGAGCCGGACCCGCGCTGCTTTACTGGAGCTGAACCCGAGCTGAGTGGCGCTCTGGGCGATGCCATACACGGCTTTGACTCCAGGGAGGAATTCAAGAGCTGCCACCTCTCCATTCAGGCCGACGGGACGGTGACCAACAGCTTCTATGACCCGATATCTGTGCATTCATCTAATATCTGCTCAGACATGAACCGACCTGGTAAGACAACACTCACTTGTATATACAATACATTCAGGTTCTGTTGCTCAACAACACGAAGGGATTCAGGGTAGACAAGATGCAGAGTAAATTAGTAACATATTTTGTTTTGACACTTTTACACATCGGATGACTTTGGATATTTAGATTTTCCAGACACTTAGGTTGCTGCTTATATTTTAATCTCAAAATGACTGTTATCATCTTGCAATTGGAAGGTTCTATCTGACATCTTTATCAATATTGAAGTGTTCATGTTCTGTTTCTGGGGCAGCATATTTACCTTATGTGATGTGTTTTACTTGTGTAAGTTTTGCCATATGGAATGCAAATCTTTAAAGCTCAATATTTCAAAACACTTACAGTGCTCAGCATATATAAGTACATCCCTCACAAATCTCTAATTTCGATTAAAATTTTTAGAGGAAGTTTATATTATTATTTTATTATTATATTATGTTTGTGCATATTCATTAGATTAGTCAGTACTGAAGTCAAATCTGGAGCTAATCTAACAAAATAACTGATGATAGCTGGCCAATATTAGTACAACCAAATTTATGTTTGGGGAAAAAAAAAAAAGAAACAATGTAAAAAGGGCAAAATTCAAGAGAAACAAAAATTAATTTGTATTTTTTTTTTCTCCAACATTTCACATGGATTTAATTTTATTATCTTTGCATTTCTAAAAATTTTCGGTGACTAAAATGTTATTTTAACAAATATATCTGTTTAATAAATCTGTTTTGTTTAAATGTTAAAATGTACTCATTTATGCTGAGCACCATATTTATTAATTTTAAAACAGATTTTCTTATTCCTTAAACATCTGATGTCTGGTACTTTTACTTTTTCTACATTTCTGCCAGTCATAATATTTTTTGCACTGCTTTTTGATGCGATTAGACTGTTATAGACTAGAATAGACATGGGCCGATATAAGATTCTGATGGTATGATAACCTTGGATAAAAATATCACGGTTCGATACCATGGTATTGTGATTACTGCTCTAAAATAAGTTTTGTTTATATGTCTGTGTAAAAAAAAATACTTTTTTCCCCTTTGAACACAATATTTTGAGAAACATTTAAAATATTTTGGAGCAGTAAACATGTCAGGCTAAATTATTTAAATTAATCTTTGACTTCTGCTGTCTTCAATAGTTTCAAAAACACTCATTTCTGTACAATTTGAAATGGCATTTTTGGAGATCTTTTCTGCTGGAGATACTGTTGTCCTAAAAAAAACGTTTAAAAAAAGTTTTTAAAAAATCTTACACATACCGTAGGAATTGTTTAGCAGACAATTTTGGCGGTTTTAAAACCTTGACTTTTCCAAACCGTGTTATACCTTGAACAAGGTTATCATCCCATGCCTAGACTAGAATTTGATTTGTTATAGATTTTATCAACACCAATAACTAGGTTGAATCAAACAGGTCAAAAACAAATTAAATGTATCCTGAAGATATAAAGTAAATTAGTCTTGATTTTTTTTCTTTTACAAAACTAATGAAAATGAAATTATTTGAAGTTGAATATACATGTTGTATTTATTGATCAGTAATGCTGGTTGATTAGTTCATTAACAAATGAAAACAAAAAAGTAACAGCGCAGTAGTACATGCTGAGGTCAACAAATGAGAGAGTCAACTTTTACAGGGTCTATTAACATTTCTTATTAACTAACAGGCATGAACCCCCTGGCCATCTTTTAATGCCGGTTATTACCAATTAAGTTGATATATTTTTATAAACAATTCAGTAATGAAGATAAATTCTAGCATTCACCAATATTATATCTCTAAATAAATATATCAAACTGACATTATATACAAGGCATCTAAGATTGGTATGAAGCACAATGCAGTAACAGGCTGCGAGTGGACTTTATGCACAACTAGTGTTTTTCAGCCAATGATGACCTTCCAGGGAAAGGTTTATATGACCATTTTCAATTTCATAAGGTTTCTTTTACAGCATCGATGTTGTAATGCAATTCAAATATAATCAGTTAAATAGACTTGAGCATCTACTTGGTTGTTAAAGGGTAAAAAGAGAAGAAAAAAACATTTAAACACAGGCTCCCTAATTAGCAGCAGGCTAGCGCAAAAACTCTATTGAAAATACTGTGCTAAAATTAATTTCCATATTGTAAAGACATGACATTTTATGCAGTGCTTCTTGTTTGGTCTGATACCCACTTTATATCAAATCTCAGCCAGGCAGTGAAAATAACTTTTAACCGTTAATAACAGTTTTTCTTTTAAAGAAATCAGATCTTAAACACAGTGATTTTGTATGGGATGAAAATTCACCGAAAGCGCTGAGGCTGGCTGACTTAAATTAAAAGTCTGCGTGCATGTACCCCATTGTTATCATTATTTCTTACCAGTGTATAAATATGTGTGACAGGTGAGATGGTGGACGATAGCAGAAGACTCTCACACACCAGACCCCAAAACCCTCCCTCACACCCCAGCTTCTCCATCAAAGAGGAGCAGGTTCCCGGCTCTGGACAGCTGTGTGTTCAGGGCCGAGATCCACCCACAGAATCCGAGCATTCAGCACAGAGTGTGTGTGATCTGGCATATGTCCACGTGGTGGAGGAAGAAAGAGGCTCCCGTTCGCACCATCATCCCTCCAAACCCACCCCCCCACCTCCATCCAGGCCTCAGAACGGACCCTCATCTTCTCTCACAGACCCTAGTTCACCTACGCAGGGCACGTCTGGCCTTAGATCCTCAGCCCAGAGAGATTCTCCTGGTTTGGGTATGAGCACTAGGAGGAGCCCAGGGGTTGGCGGTTCATCTCCGGAAGAGCCCATCCGGCGTTCCATCTCCGAGCTGATGGGGGAGGCCCCCGGGGAACGTCCTCATTTATGTCTAGAGTGCGGAAAGACTTTCCGTCTTATTTCCAGCCTGAAGAAGCATCTAAGGATCCACACAGGAGAGAAACCGTATCCGTGCACTGTATGCGGCCGGCGTTTCCGTGAATCCGGCGCTCTTAAGACTCACCTCCGCATCCACACCGGCGAAAAGCCATATTCTTGCTCTGATTGCGGCACGCAGTTTCGGCATCTGGATGGGCTGCGGAAGCATCGCCGCACACACACTGGTGAAAAGCCCTACGTGTGCAGCATCTGCGGGAAACGTCTCAGCCGCCTTCAGCATTTGAAGCACCACCAGCGCATTCACACAGGAGAGCGGCCGTGCTGCTGCCCACTATGCCACCGAGGATTTAAAGATCCAGCCAGTCTGAGGAAGCACCTCCGTGCCCATCAGGGGGAGCCAGGGGCTGATGAAGCCTTAGGGATGGCTGGTTTGGCAGAAGGCGATGGAGGATCTATGGATGATGAGGATATGAGGTTCGGGATGTGGGGGGAAGAGGAAGGGAATGACGGCGAGCCTGTGGTGGACTGTGTGTAGTCCTCATGCATTTACAAATAAGCAAATATCGAACCGTATGGTTTTCAATTATGAACCTCTTTTTTTTTTTTGAAGGGACAACTTTTTTTCTACTTTGTAAAAGGATAGTTCACCCAAAAAAACGAAATCTGTCTTCATTTACTCACCCTTTGCTTGTTCAAAACCTAGTTGAGTCTCTTTCGTCATTGAACATGCACTCAAAAATATATATATTCTTTCGTATGTTTAAATTACTTATTTACAATGAGCTGAAACAACACACTTTTTGAGATTATTTTTGAATAACTTAATTTTTTATGTTTAATACACATAAATTTGTTATTAGTGTTAATAATAGATTTGAGTTGAGACAACATGAATGAATTATGTGGAACCCTGCATTTTTTTATAGTGTAAAGGAAATTACTTTGAAGAAGGATGATCGATGGAGCCTATTGACTTCTTTAGTTTCTATTTTTCCTCCTATGGAATCCTAGGAGTACCATCAACCAGCATTTTCCAAAAACACCTTCTTTTGTGTTCAGCGGAAGAAAGAAACTACATCGGGAGAGTAATTGGCGAAGTAATTTTCAGTTTTTTGGGTGAACTATCAATTTAAGACTGAAATATGTTGAGGTCTAAAAGACAGTCGCTGCATCTTGACCTCAAATCTGTGGTGACGTTTTGTTGCAGCATCTATCTCTTTCGTTAAAGTATGATTATGTATCTTTTAACATCATAACATGTTCCAAATATCAAGTACATATTATCATATTCAATGACACCACAGATGTCACATCAGAGACTGCAGATCTTGCCGTCATTTTTCTTACTATGTGTGCTGTGTTTCATTGTAAAAGCTGTTGACGCTTCAGTGGGACTAACAGGGTATATCTCGTACGATCTGTTTTTCACAACTTCTGGGTGTATTCATTGGTGTAATGAGCATTTTTATGTAAAAGAAAGCGTAGGAAAGAGCTATTGTGGGGGAAATTAAAGCCTTAACTGTGGTTTAAGTGCACAGGCTCACACACAGATGTGCATCAAGGGTTAAATGAAGATGTCGTGTTCAGGGTGAAAGGTGCTGATCCAAAGAATCAGAAAGGTGTGTGCCAGGATTAATTCATGAGTTCACTTTGAGACTCATCTATAAAAATGTATCTACGTGTCCGACTTGGCTATGTACTCATCTGCGGATTGTTTTTAAGGCTTCTTCGTTCAGATTAGGTGTAATAAGCCAGCAATTTAAGGAAACATTAAAAGTGGCGCCCTCTAGTGGACATAAGAGGCAAAGACTGTTACTGCCAAGTTGCTTCACAAAAGATGGAGATGTCCTTTCTGTTGTGGCCATAGCATTAATCTGTGTGGTTTTGTGAAATACTTTTATTTACACTGAGTTTTGTTTTTATATATATATATATATATATATCCCATTTTGTACATTCAACCTGTATATTGTGTACATTAATCTCAGTTAGATTTAGCCTTAACTACTTCAAGACGGTAACTGGAACTTTTAAAAAGATCCATGACAATTGTTGTAATAACTTTGGACTGTTTAAACAGTTTGCTTTTTATTTTTCAATATTCTACTTTTCCCAGTGCCCATGTGTGATGTTGAGTTTAGGGATGTTGTTGCAGAGGTTTGACGGCTGTGGTTCATTTGTAGTTGGACCAACAAAAAGATTGTAGTCACAGCCCAAAAACACCAGACTTAATAGCCTAATATAAATATGCAGAACGGAATGTTTAACATTGAGATCCTTATTTGAGTGCTTAACTCACGCAACACTTCAGCCAAATTGATAAAATTGAGTCGATGAATTTAGTGTGAACTTTTATTCTCTAGAATTATTCGTCATTGTAAGACAACCTCAAAATATAAGCATTTTGATAAGAAAACATTCAAATCTGTTGATCATTTTGTTATAACACAAGCTTTCTTCTTGCATATTCTTCAGTGTGTATAACCAGCCATTTTACTCTTTTATAACAAAGGGCACAGTCTTCATCTCTTGTCTGTAACGCTTCATATTCCGAATAATGTACCATCATATTATAATCATTTACAAATAAAACTTCAAGTGTATTGGTTTTTGTATGTTCTTGTGAATTTCTGTCTGTACATTCAGCAGGTTGCGAGCGCTCAGACAGCAGTGTGTGTATATGTGAACAGCACATACAGGCCTCATGAACTTGGTCAAATAAACAGGACAGTGTTATAGGTGGGGCTGTTTTTTGGAGGGAGTCTGTAGCGAAACCCTCTGTCTGTTTTCTTTTATATATGTAGTCTTTGTTTATAGTTGTGCGTGCAGACTTTTCTGTTTATTCACTCAGGTTATGCTGGGGTGAGACAGTCTGAATCACAGGATTAAACTTTTAATCCTTTTTTTAATTGGAACATGCATATACATGTACAGTTGAATTATTAGCCAAACTGTGAATTGTAATACTTTTGCAAATATTTCCCAAGTGATGTTTAACAGAGCAAGGACATTTTCACAATAATTCCTATAATATTTTATTTATAGGCTTATAGGCATAAAAGCAGTTTTAGATTAAAAAAAAACATTTTAAGGTCAATATAATCCTTTTTTTCAATTGTCTACAGAAGAAGGCAATGTTCTCCATTGATTTTTTTGACCTGATTGCCATAACATGCCTAGTTAACCTAATTAGAAAAGTCTTTAAATTGCTCTTTAAGTTGAATACTAATTTCTTGCTAAATAACTAGTAAAATAAAGGGATTTGGTAGGACAAAATGAATTAGTTATTAGAAATTGGTGAATAAACCTATCATAATTAAAATATGCTAAAAAAAATTAAACAGCACTAAAGTTTTTTTTTAATTTTTGAATGTTTATTTTGAATGTGTAGTATCATATATATATATAACTTGACTCTAGTTGATCATTTGGTATCAGAAGTGGCTTATATGAAAGGCAAAGGTCTCTAGTTTACACTTATTTTACCAAAATAAAGCATGATCATGCCTGGATTTTAATTTTTTAATGAGGACAGTTTGGTCTGACTTGGCTGAGACAAAAGTCCTGTCACTTAAGGCAAGGCAAGGCAAGTTTATTTATATAGCACATTTCATACACAGTGGCAATTCAAAGTGCTTTACATAAACAGGAAATAAAAAGACAAGTTTAGGAAAATAAAATGCAGACAATAAAAATTATTAAAAGCAGATAAAAACAAATTAAAATGAGTTAAAATAGGTTATACAAGGATGGAAAAGAAAACAAAAAACATAATAGTGCGATCTGTCGGACGCAGCACAGTGCTCATTCAGTAAAGGCACAGCTAAACAGATGTGTTTTCAGTCTCGATTTGAATGTGCCTAATGTTGGAGCACATCTGATCATTTCTGGAAGCTGATTCCAGCAGCGAGGAGCATAGTGGCTAAAGGCAGATTCACCCTGCTTTGACTGAACCCTTCGAATTTCTAGTTTATAAGATCCTAAAGATCTGAGTGATCTGTTAGGTTTGTATTCAGTGAGCATATCTGTGATGTATTTAGGTCCTAGGCCATTTAGTGATTTATAGACCAGTAATAATACTTTAAAATCTATTCTGAATGTAACTGGCAGCCAGTGTAAAGACCTGAGGACAGGTGTGATGTGCTCTGATTTCCTGCTTCTGGTCAGAATCCTGGCTGCCGCATTCTGGATGAGCTGCAAGTGTCTGACTGTCTTTTTGGGAAGGCCAGTGAGGAGTCCATTACAGTAATCCACCCTGCTGCTGATAAAAGCATGAACAAGTTTCTCTAAGTCTTCACTAGAAACAAATCATCTGATTCTTGCAATATTTTTGAGATGATAGTATGCTGATTTACTGACTGCTTTGACATGACTATTGAAACTCAGATCTGACTCCAGAGTCACACCAAGATTCTTGACCTTATTTTTTGTCGTTTGACCTTTAGAGCCAAGGTACGCATTCACCTTGAGAACCTCATCTCTGTTCCCAAATGCAATGACTTCAGTTTTCTCTTTGTTTAACTGAAGAACATTTTGGCACATCCAATTGTTAATTTCATCAATGCATTGGCAGAGGGTATCAATGGGGCTGTAGTCATTAGGCAGTAAGGCTAGGTAGATCTGAGTGTCATCAGCATAGCTGTGGTAGGAGACTTAACAGAAATAATGTACAGTATAGAATATAAAGTCATGGTGCAGTGGAAACAGAATTAATATTGTGTATGACTCCCATAAGCTTAGGCGACTGCATCCATACATCTCTGCAATGACTCAAATAACTCATTAATAAAGTCCTCTAGAATGGCAAAGAAAGTGTTTTTTTAGCACTCCCAGGGTTTATCAAGATTCTTTGCATTCATCTTACCTCCTCCTTCATCCAGACATGCTCAATAATGTTCATGTCTGGTGGCTGGGCTGGCCAATCCTGGAGCACCTTGACCTGTGCTTTCAGGAATTTTGATGTGGAGGCTGAGATATAAAGAGTGCTATCCTGCTGAAGAATTTGCCACCTCCTGTGGTTTGTAATGTAATGGGCAGCACAAATGTCTTGATACCTCAGGTTGTTGATGTTGCCATCCACTCTGCAGATCTCTCGCATGCCCCATTATATTATATTTGATAATTTAGCACTAAATGTTTTGTCAATTTGAAATGATTGTGCAGAAACATTTTTGCCATTAAAAAATAAATATTTAAAGTAAATTTTATTGGTGAGTAAACCATTTTAGTAAACCATTTTATAAAGTATATATACTATATAAGAGTTATAAACACATGTATTTTATGTGTGTATTTATGTTACACTTCAACAAACATAATTGAATTTTTTTAGAGCCGAAATCAAAGCCTCATGAGCTATTTTAAAATCATTAATAAATGGGAAACATCATTCTAAGTGTTCATTATTTCATCTCTTTTTCTGTCAGTTCACCGATTTGTTTTTTAAAGTAAAATTTAAATGCATTATAATTCATCCTTGCCAAAGAAAAGCATACAATTTGTGGCACTTTCTGTCCCCAAACTGTATTTCCAAAGACTGTATACTGTAGCATCATCTTTGGTTCAGTCTGTCCACTCTCCACATCATTTAAGTGTATTTAAATAGTTTGAAATAGTACTACTTTCCAAAGAACTTCCATGGCTTTAACTATCAGTTGTCAGTCTTGTTTTTCGACGCTCTCCATCAATTCTAGTTCAGCCCCCAAAAACGTCTGTTGTAAAATGTTGTTGTGCCGCTTTGTCCCAGACGATGAGGCATCGGTCAGCCAGAGTCTGACCCACATTCAGTTGATGTTTGTCCAGAGCTCTCCTCCCTTCTTGATTCTGAAGTGACTCATGTATCCGCTCAGGCGTGATTATAGTCCATGTGACGTAAGCCGAGACCACTCTGCTCTTAAAGCCCACACCCTGCTTCCAGACCACAGGCCCTGCTCTCCATGCTACGCAAAACAGAGTTTAACGTCACTCCGAGCATAGCTTTTGCTGGTCTAGATTAGGGGTGTCCAAACTCAGTCTTGAGGGCTAGTGTCCTGCATAGTTTTGCTCCAACTTCCTTCAACACATCTGCCTGGAAATTTCTAGTATACCTAGAATAGGCTTGATTAGCTGGTTCTGGTGTGTTTAGTAAGGGATAAAACTAAAATATGCCTGACCCTTTAGGACCAAGTTTGGACACCCCTGGTCTAGATGTTCTGTCATCTGTGCACACTATTTTTCATTGACAGAGCCTGTATCGTGGTGCTATGGCTAGCTAGGTACGTTTTGGTTTAGTTTCTGCCAAATCTAAGCTTCACCAAAATCCTTTTAAGGCAAATCATTTCACTCAGCGGCCATCTTTGACACACCTCTCGAGCAGTATACTCTGACATTTTGTCTGAATAGGGAAACATCAAATTCTCCAAAATTGCTTGCTAAGCTTACGATTGAATTTCATATTAGAAATCACGAGTGGTTCAGTGGTTAGCAATGTCGCCTCACAGCAAGAAGGTCATTGGTTCGAGTTCCGGCTGGGTCAGTTGACATTTCTGTGTGGAGTTTGCATGTTCTCACCATGTTCATGTGGGTTTTCTCCGGTGCTCCGATTTCCAGTCCAAACACATGTGCTATAGGTGAATTGAATAAACTAAATTGGCCATAGTGTATGTGTGTGCATGTGAGAGTGTATGGGTGTTTCCCAAAGATGGGTTGCAGCTGGAAGGGCATCCACTGTGTAAAACATGCTGGATAAGTTGGCGGTTCATTTCTGCTGTGGTGACCCCTGATGGACTAAGCTGAAGGAAAATGAATGAATGAATGTGTCAATTGAACAGGAATCAACGCACCATTTCTGATGGTTTAAAGTCCATATTTTGTCACCAATCAACCTGCACCTGGAAATCAAGACAACTCATTGTTTACTCAGAGCTAAACTACTCAACTTTATTATCTGAAATTGCTGTTTTGTACTTTTACTTTAATCATTGCAATCAATGGGCAGTACGTGCTGAGTATTTCTGGCTTCCCGTTAGTTCTCTGCTACTCTCACATGGTCGCCCACTTAAGCTAATCAGGGTTGAGCCTGGTCAGTACCTGCATGGGAGATCACAAGGGAAAACTTGGTTGCTGTCGGAAGAGCTGTTAAGGAGGCCAGCAGGGGGTGCTAAACCTGCGGTCTATGTGGGTCCTAATGCCCCAATATAGTGAAGGGGACATTATATTGCTCAGTGAGCGCCGTCTTGACTCTATGTAGTCACTAAAAATCCCAGACACATATCCTTCGAAAAACCCATTATTCTGGCCAAATTTGCCCAATGGACTCAATTCATCATGACCTCCTTACCATATCTTAATTGACTTTATCACTAGGTCTCCTCTTCACCAATAAGCTGGTGTGTGGTTTTATGTCTAGCAAAGAATTGCTGTTTTTGTGTCATCCAGGTAAATGATGAACACTAATGATGGATGAGAATATTCCCCCATCTGTGAAGCACTTTGAGTGTTCAGAAAAGCGTTATATAAATGCAAGGAATTATACAAATAATAAGACATGAACTACTCAGTCTGGTTTCTGAATGTAACACATTGTTTTGTTAAAAAAAACAGGCTGAGATTATTACTTTGAAGTGCCT